CAGATTCGACGGTATTCCTATTGCACTATCAATAACATTCTTCACAGAATTAGAAAAATCTATTTTAAAATGCATATGGAACCAAGAGTAAGCTGAATAACCCAGACAATTCAAAGTAAAAAGAACAAAGCTGGAAGCATCACATTACCCAACTTCAAGCTGTACTATAGCTTGAAGTAACCTAACAGCATAGTACTTGCACAAAAACAGTCACATAGGCCAATGGAACAGAACAGAGAGATAAGAAGTAAGGTCCCACACCTACAGCCATCTGGTCTTCGACAACATTGATCAAACAAGCAATGGAAAACAGATTCCTATTTAGGAAATAATTTTCGGGTAATTAGCTAGTCATGTGCAGATGATCGAACCTGAACCACTTTCCTGATTATATAGAAAAATTAACTCAAGATGAGTTAAAGACTTAAATGTGAAACCAAAACTATGAAAATCCTGGAAGGCTGCCTAAGGCAATACCATTCCGAATGTAGGAATAGGCAAAAGATTCATGACAAAGATGCGAAAGACAATCACAAGAAAAGGAAAAATGGACAAATGGATCAATTTAAACTAAAAAGATTCTGCACAGCAACAGAACCTATCAACAGAATCAACAGACAACCTACAGAAAAGGAGAAAATATTTGCAAATTATGTATCTGAAAATTGTCTAATATCTAACATCTATAAGGAACTTTAACAACTTTACAAGAAAAGAACAAACAACCCCATAAAAAATGGGCAAAGGGCTGGGAGCAGTGGCTCATGCTTGTAATTCCAGCACTTTGGGAGGCTGAGGACTGCTTGAGTCCAGAAGTTCAAGACCAGCTTCGGCAACATGGCAAAACCCTATCTCTATGAAAAATAGAAAAATTAGCCAAGTCTTGTCTCGAGCACCTGTAATCTCAGCTACTTAGAAAGCTGAGCTGGGAGGATTGCCTGAGCCCAGGCAGAGGTTGCAGTTAGTTGAGATTTCACCACTGCACTTCTGCCTGGGTGTCATAGTGAAATCCTGTCTCAAAAAAAGTAGACCAAGAACATTAATAGACAGTTTTCAAAACAAGACATACAGGTGGCCAACAAGCAAATGAAAAGAAGCTCAACATCCCTGAATGTTAGAAAAATGCAATCCCATTACTGGGATAGGTGTATACACTATTGTATACACAGAAGAATATAACTGATTCTGCCTTAAAGACATATGAACATGAATGTTCTTTTCAACACTATGCACAATAGCAAAGACACAGAATGAGCCCAAATGCCCATCAAGGACAGATTACATACAGATAATGTGATACATATGCACAATGGAATACTACGAAGCCCTAAAAAAGAATGAGGTCATGTCTTTTGCAGGAACATGGATGGAGCTGGAGGCCATGAATCTTAGTAAACTAATGCAGGAACAGAAAGCCAAATACTCCATGTTATCACTTATAATTGTGAACTAAATGATGAGACTCAGGGACACCAATAGGGGAACAACACACACAGAAGCCTACTTTACGGTGGAGGGTGAAAGGTGGGATAGGAGCAGAAAAAACAACTATTGGGTACTATGCTTAGTACCCAGGTGAAGAAATCTTATGTACCACAAACCTCATGACACGACTTTATCTGCATATGTACACCTATAATAAAGTAAAAAAAAAAAAAAAAGAAAAAAAACCAATCTCACCTTTCTCCCAGAATCTACAGGAGAAACAGTATCTCTGAAACTTTGTTTTACATGGACTCTAAGACAAAGCAGAGAATGTAGTTAGAGTCCAGGTATGTGACAGACAGATGAGAGTGACCCTCACATGGCAGAGCCAAGGGGCCTAGTGTGAGGCAGGTTCATGCATTAACTTTCTCTAGTTCTCTCCTGAGGATCAAGGTCAGGAGGATCAGACCTTCAAAGGCTCTCCCAGAATCTTTAAATGCAAAGAGAATTACCTTCTAGGTCTAACGTCTTTTTCTAAAATTCCCAATTTACTTTTAGTCATTGTACAAATTGAGAGAATGTACACCTTCTGGCTAGATTCTGCATAGTGGAGAAAATGCTTGAGAGGCACAAAGACAAGCTTTACAATCACTACCCCTCACTCCATCATCCTATCCCTGGTAACCCAATCCACAGGCTGGTACCTCCCCTACTGTCATTTCCGCTTCCTTACAGCAAACAGCTATGGTTGTGACAGAGTTTCTTCCTGACATCTGAGTCTTTCTCCTGCTACACGGAAAGCTTGCTGGGAGGGGTTGGAATCTGGCATGAAGCCAGAAGGCATCTCTGAGTTGCAGCATTTAAATGATCCCACTCAGAGATTCACACAGAAGACTGGACACAATTCTGAAGAGTCACCCAGAAGGAGAGAACAATGTCATCACTACCCGTGAGTTGAAAAGGCACAGACTTTAACAATCTCAAGTCACATAAACCAAGAAAGAAACAGGGGAGATTTTCTGAGATGAAAATATGAACATTCCTACTGCGAATGCTTTCCTGAGAGGCGTGGTTGTGTGGAAGAGAAACCCTGAGGCTGTGGTATCTGAGATGACTGTGGGGTGTGAGGTGGGGATCCTGGACCAGTGTAACCCTCTGTGAGTGTGTGGTGGTGTCTGATGAGAGTGAACTCTGCTGAGATTAAGTGACTTTAGGTGGGAGGCGGATGCCCCACCAGGACGGGCGGGTGTGTGAGTGAGTGTAAGTGGTTGAGTGTGCTTTGTCTTCCTGTCTGTGATGTAAGTGTATGTTTGCTCGCAGCCAGACCAGTGCATGGTCATCTTTATGTGCACAGTGAGCAGGTATGTGTGACTCAGTGAATGGTGTGGCTGTGTGTGACTGTGGGTGTGTGTGCTGTTATGTGACAGGATGTTGAACTGGGAACATGCATGTGGCCTTCTGTGCATGTGAAGGTTCCTCCACACACAGCAGCACCTCTGATGAAGCAGCTGTGTGTCTTTTCATATGTGTCAATGTGGATCCCAGATGGCTTAACTGGTGGGGATCTTGGGGATTGTGAGTTACCAAGGACTAGTTTCAGGTCACTTATGAGAGCAAAATGTAGCATCGGTAGATGTCTTCCCAGTAAGAGTGGGGAAGAGCAATGCAGACTATGGGGGTGATGGTTCCTCAGGTGGGGACTGCACAGAGTGACCACTGGCTTTGGCTTCCCAAGCTCAACTTCCTTGCCCCAGCTCAGCCTGTTCTTCCCATTGTGGAACAGGAGAGTGTTCAGACACTGATTTGCCAGGGAAGAATATTAGAGGCCATGGTTTCAGCAGCTGAACCACGCGAAATATTCACGGTAAGCTCTGTCTGAACTGAAACTAAACTTGTTCCTCCACTCATGAAAGAACAAGCTCTGTTTGAATTCAGACAGTTTACTGTGAATGTTACTCAACAAAGCAGCTGGGTTCACTGGCTCACGGCTATAATCCCACCAATTTGGGAGGCAAAGATGGGAGGGTAACTCGAGGTCAGAAGTTTGAGACCAGTCTGGGCATTATAGTGAGACCCTTTCTTTGAAAAACTTTAAATATCAGACTGGCAGAGTGGCAGGCACCTTTCGCCCCAGCTACACAAGAGGGGGCAGATGTGTGAGGATCACTGCAGCCCAGGAGTTCAACGTTTCAGTGAGCTGTGATTGCACCACTGCATGTCAGCCTGGGTGACAAAGCAAGACCCTATCTCAAAAATATGGAAAAATCATCAACCACTTGTAGTCGTGGTAGAAATCAATCGTTCCCTCTAGTTATGTCCCTGACCCACAGGCTTCATATGTGCAAGTACTGAGGCTGCGCTGTCAGCAATGTGTCCCCTTCTGGGAAGGACGTCCATTGCCCTCGATGATGGTGATGTGTGTGCCTCCCACACACAGGGGTTTCCTGTTCTTTCGTCATTTCTCTCTCTTTCAACAAGTGTTGTTTCTCACTGGAGTGAATTTCTAAATTCTTTCACCCTCAAGTCTTGTTTTCATTTTCAGAGTTGAAAATAAGGCAGGTCAATGTCTCAGGAAGACTCCCCTGTTCTGTTAGGTCACCCCTAACAGACCCTACACATGCCAGGGATTAGAGTAGAAGTTTTACATATATTAACTCCTCTGTCACTGAGAACACCCTACAAAGTAGGAATTACTGACAATCCTCCTTGTCCTGGGGAAACCGAGGCAGGGAGGGTTAAGTAATAGATCTAAGATTGCACTGCTAGTAAGAGGCAGAATGAGGACTGGAATCCAGGATGCCTGGCTCTTGAACAATTGCTCCTACCTATGGGTCCACCATATCTTCAGGAATATGGGGCCCTGACTGTGGTAGGGTGAAAGGGGAGAGGCCTCAGAGTCTGCCCTGTGATCTCTAACCTCCCGCACCATGGGAATCTGTTACAATAGGGAGAGGCTGACCCTTTACCTCTCACTCACTCTCAATACCCTGGCAGGTGCCATACACACTGCCTGTTTCCTTGTCTGTTGGTTCCTGCGTGATAATCACAGGGACACCGATCCTCACTTTTGTGTGAGTACTCTGTGGTCCAATGGAGGGGGTGGAGGAGAGAAGGGGGAATATTTGCTAAGGGTGTGACCTTATGTGTGAGTGATGTGGAAATGTCTAGTTGGCATAATGAAGACCTCATGCAAGTGCACGCCCTGGAGACCCTCCAGCACCAGGCATGAGACCTGCAGCAACTGCATGTGGGCCAGCCATGGGGCCTAGGGGAGGAGGACACTCAGTGGGTTGGGGCCGTGGCTCTTTATTAAAGGGCATAGAGTTTCCAGGAAATGAACAGATCATAGGCCCAGGTCCCTGACTGGTGCTCAGTTTTTGTCTGGGGATGAGGAGCACAGCATCTCTCTGCCTGGGAGCACGAGGAGCTGAAGCATCCCCACAGGGACCAGGACTGCAGTATCATCAGGGAGACTTCTTGCCCTGGGTAAAGTGGGGAAGGGATTTGTGTGTGTGTTGAGTGTGTGTCTGCACTATGAAGGAACCTGCCCAACGTGCTGTGTGCTTTGACCTCAGCAAGGACCCACAGCTGGAGGTGAATTTCTACACTGGGACGGATGAGGACTCAGATATTGCTTTCCAATTCCGACTGCACTTTGGTCATCCTGCAATCATGAACAGTCGTGTGTTTGGCATATGGAGGTACGAGGAGAAATGCTACTATTTGCCCTTTGAAGATGGCAAACCATTTGAGCTGTGCATCTATGTGCGTCACAAAGGATACAAGGTGAGCACCTCAGGAGCTTCCAGCGCTGGAGCTTTGTGGGCTGCTAGAGGAGGCAGCTTTCATTGACTTGGTGCCACCAGTCCCTTGGGGCCCATCTTCCGTAACTACTCCTGTTTCAGGTTTTCGTCACAGAGCACCCTCTGCTTGCACTGCCGTCCTCTGCTCTTTCCAAAATCTGACCAACATCAAGGTCGGCTCACCTGCCATTTCCCACAAAGTGGAGAATCTCCTGTCTTTTCCCATAGTGCTCATTTCTACTTATGCCATTCTTTAAATTTTCATTTAGCTGAATGTATACAATATACTTAAGAAAAAGGTGGTTTTAATCATTCAAAAATTATGTCTTTGTCTAACTTTTGGGCCCCAATTCTACTCATAAGAACAGCATTACTAGAGTTCCGCTCTTCTTCAGAAAGAATCTTTTTTTTTTTTATTTTTTTGAGACAGAGTCTCACTTTGTCATCCAGGTTGGAGTGCAGTGGTATGATCACAGCTCATTGCAAACTCCACCACCCAGATTCAAGCGATTCTCTTGCCTTAGCCTCCCAATAGCTGGAATTACAGGTGCATGCCATCACACCTGGCTAACTTTCGTATTTTTAGTAGAAGCAGAGTTTCACCATGTTGGCCAGGCTTATCTTGAACTCCGAACCTTGCGTGATTTGCTCACCTTGGCCTCCCAAAATACTGGGATTACTGGCATAAGCCACTGTGCCCAGCCTTTCAGAGGAAACCTTTGCCTGTGGATGGATATAGATATGTCTATGATTTCATTTGTTTTTAAGCAAATCCTGGTATAAGTTGCTCTACACATTTCACTTCAGGAATTAAGTTGATTTGTTGACAAATAATATATCTTGAAGGCACTATCAATCCATGGTGCCACTTCAGTTTTTAAAGATTGCATAATATTCCATTAAAAAGTTTACCCAAAATTATTGAACTTGACCCTTTTTTGGGCATTAAAGTTTTTCCCAGTATTTTGCTCTCACATGTGATGCTGTATTACGTTTTAGTAGGCTGGGATTTCAGAAGATGCTTCACTCATGTCCAAGTCAATACTAGGGCTGAGTGAACACCTAGAAACTGGCTGGTTATCTCTTTCACTACCACACCTTTCCGTTCATGCCTTGAATATGTTTAAATCAGGAGAGTCTCATGGTTCTTGGACTTAATGAATGGTGATTGGCTTTCAGCAAAGAAAGCCTTTCAAAAGGCTCATGGAAACAGTGCATGGCATTATAAGACCTACCTTTGAACGGCAGACAGTGTCACTTCTATAGCTTTACATTGACCATGGTGAGTCACATAGACACCCCTAATCAAAAGGAGAGGACTCCACAAGCTGTGGTTATTGTGACTGTAGTCATGAGGGGCCATCCTTGGCAACTAGTTCCATTCAGTCGTTACTGGCTTATATACTTCCCACATACCAACAACACTAACCCTGTAAGGGATCTCTGAAGGCAATACTACAGCAGGAACAGGCTCAGAGTGAAGTGCAGTATCTTATCTAATCAGGATATGGTGTCTATCAGGTGACTAAAAATTGTCACTTGCAATCTCAACATGTGCACCAAAGGGACATACCATCTGCTTTATACAAATGAAGCCAAAAAGACAAAAAGAGACAGGAAAAAGGCAATGAACACACCTACTTTAGAGGGGCAAAATAAAATAGACAGCACTCACTAATCCATATCACTGGTGAAACCAATCAGACAGTTATTTTCATTTTCTCTGGGAATGTTTCTCTGTAGCACTTGTCCTCACCCTCCATTCTCAGCTTCTTGGAGTTCCTACCAAGATGGCAGAATGACAGACCTTTCCCCAATAGAAGAACTGTGATTATCTGCTTCATAGCATGTATGGAGAACAACTTAGGAAAAGAGAAACAACATATTATTTAAAAATCAATGAAGGCAGATTGAAGAGAGTCCCTAAATAGCCTCTTTGTTTGCAAGGGCCATCTCAGGCGTCATTTTAATCATTCTCATCGTCTCTTCCCATGTTCACTGCAATAGTTTCTGCAACTCCAACCTCACTCATGGGTATGCCTCTCTCCTTACCCTTCCTTTAACCTAACATCCAGATACTTTGAGATGCTAACGCACAGTGAATGACACTCTTCATGCCTCTCTTCCTGTTTCTTTCCAGTATGGAATGAAATTCCCTCCCCTCTCAGTGGAAACTCTTGGGTTCTGATTAGGTACACTCTCCTCCTTACACCTTCCATTTCACAGTCTTGATCACTTCTCTATTTTGATAATGGATTATAGGCCCCATCACCACCACGGAATTCATTTTTTTGGGGAATTATGTAATTTGTGCTGTGAGTGGATGAAAACTATCCTGAAACCACTGGCTTAATGAGCAGAAAATGACTTGGATTTCACATCGACTTGCTGCTTGCCCGGCAGTCATTTTATTTGAATAACCGAGATAATTTTACATGCCGGCCCTGCCAGGCAAACACACAGTGACTGCCCTTTCTTGAATGATATTCACCAGCTCAATGCACTTCCTGAAGGTCATTCGTTACATTCGTCTTTATTCAGCTGCTACTCTGTGCTCATGGTGGCCAGGAATGACATCTCACATACAAAGAGATTACATAGAGTCCAAGGTGAATGTTCAACTGATAATTTTTGAATTGCCTCTGAAAATCTACTCAACATCTTTCCTCCTCCTGCTCAATCAAAGTCTTCTCCCAGCAAATTTGGGATTGCTCAAAAAGCAGAAACTCTTTAATGAACTCTAAAGCCTCCTCATCTCAAAGGTTTTTTGGTCTTTCCAGTTATAACTGAAGCCCCCAAAGAATAAATATACTCTGTGATAATAATGTCCTTGATGCCTAACTCTGTCAGCATTGCGATTCCTCTGGGATGCCATCCGTGATGGTGCTAAACATTCGTGTATGTGGGCCTCTATTTGCAAGTGAGGGGGGCCCAAGAAGATGGAATAAAATGGAAATTAGAAAAAATTTTCCCCAATTTATTTATTTTTACCATTCTTTAACTTTTCTTTTAAGTTCAAGTGTACATGTGCAGGTTTGTTGTGTAGGTAAACCCCTTGTCACAGGTGTTTGTTGTACAGATTATTTCACCATCCAGGTATTGAGCAAAGCAAAAAGTAGTTATTTTTTCTGCTCTTCTCCCTCTTCTCACCCTCCACTCTCAAATAGGCCCCAGTGTTTATCATTTACTTCTTTGTGTTTATGAGCTCTCATCGTTTAGCTTCCACTTATAAGTGAGAACATGAAGTATTTTTCTTCTGGTCCTGCATTAATTTGCTAAGGATAATGGCCTCTAGCTCCACCTATGTTCCCTCAAAAGACATGACCTTGTTCTTTTTTGTGGCTGCATAGTATTCCATGGTGTATATGTTACACATTTTCTGTGTTCAATCTGTAATTGATGGCATTTAGGTTGATTCCATGTCTCTGGTATTATGGTTTTATTTTGCATTTCCCTGATGATTAGTGATGTTGAACATTTTTTTCATATGTTTATTGGCAGTTTGTGTATATTTTTGTCTTTGTACTGATATTTTATTTTTATTTTTTAAAACTCATTAGTTTAGTTTATTTTTTCCCATGTTATTGTGATACAGATTGTATTTGGTTACATGAGTAATTTCTTTATTGGTGATTTGTGACATTTTGGTGCACCCATCACCCAAGCAGTATATACGGCATCATATTTGTAGTATTTTTTCCCTCATCCCCCTCTCACTCTTCCCCCCAAGTCCCCAAAGCCCATCATATTATTTTTATGCCTTTGTGTCCTCATAGGTTAGCTCCCACATATCATTGAGAACATATGATGTTTGTTTTCCATTCCTGAGTTACTTCACTTAAAATAAGAGTCTCCAATCTCATCCAGGTTACTGGAAATGCTGATAGTCCATTTCTTTTTGTGGTTGCATAGTATTCCATTGTGTATATGTGTGTGTGTGTGTATATGTGTATATATATATGTGTATATATATACACACACACACATATATATACACACACACACATATATATACACACAATGGAATATACACACACACACACACACACACACATAACTTTTTCTAATCCATTCATTGATTGATGGACATTTGTGTTAGCTCCACTATTTTGCTATTGTGAATTGTGCCACTAAAAACATGCATGTACAAGTATTCTTTTTGAATATTAACTTCTTGTCCTCTGGGTAGATACCCAGTAGTGGCATTGTTGGATCAAATTGTAGTTCTACTTTTAGTTCTTTTAAAAATCTCCATGCTGTTTTCCATAGCAGCCATACTAGTTTACATTCCCAACAGCAGTATAGAAGTATTTCCTGATCACCTCCTCCACGCTGAAATCTTTTTTTATTTATTATTTTTAATTATGGCCGTTCTTGCAGGAGTGAGGTGGTATTGCATTGTTGTTTTGATTTGCATTTCCCTAATAATTAGTGATGCTGAGCAAGTTTTCATGTGTTTGTTAGCCATTTGTATATCTTCTTTTGAGAATTGTCTATTCATGTCCTTAGCCCACTTTTTGATGTGATTTTTTTGTTGTTGATTTTTTCAAATTCTTTGTGGATTTTGGATCTTAGTCTTTTGTCAGATGCATAGTTTGTGAATATTTTGTTTCCCACTCTGTGAGTGGTCTGTTTACTCTGCTGATTATTTCTTTTGCTGTACAGAAGATATTTAGTTTATTTAGATAGATCTCATTTATTTATTTTTGTTGCATTTGCTTTTGGGTTCATAGATGTGAATTCTTTACCTAAGCCAATGTCTAGAAGAGTTTTTTCAATGTTATCTTCTTGAATTTTAATGTCTTCATGTCTTAGATTTAAGTCTTCGATCTACCTTGAGTTGATTTTTGTATAAGACGAGAGATGAGAATCCAGTTTCATTCTTCTACATGTGACTTGTCAGTGTTTCCAGCACCATTTACTGAGTATGGTTTTCTTCCCCCACTGATATGCTTTGGGTCTGTGTTCCCTTCCAAATCTCAC